GTACGTCTTTTACTGCCTAGCATGGGATTTAAACCACTAAATCTGCATTTGTGCTTTTCAGCTACAGAAGTTTTATGAATGTCTGTTTTTACAGTTTTGGCATCATATAAAGATCCTTACACTAATAAAAAAACAACTGGAGAAGCATTGTCTGTTGTGGCCATAGCAACCAATCATATGTGTAAGTAAATTGGTTAACATTTACTAGAGAACCAAGCAAAATAATGTGATTGCCAGAGTTGTCTACATCACACAATTTGGTGCATTGTAACAGAATAATAAACACAGAGACATTTCATTCATGTTTATTTGTTTTAAAAAGTTAGATAATAACAAATGAAAGTACAAGCTGAATGACTAGATTACAGTATTTAAAACAGTGACATCCCAAATCTGCATTTGGTAATCTCAATGTATGTGCTTGAGAAAATAATTAATGAAAACCAAACTTGTATCTCAAACATTCAAATAAGGGGGGGAGGTGCAGCGCTATATAAAATGACAGACACTAATAAAATACAAATGGTAAATAGTGACTTTGTGCAAATAAAATAAAGCCACTAGGTGGTGGCTATAAAGTGACAAAAAGGTGTAAAAATAATAAAAAGAGTCCAAAGAAGGGGTGCTCTTAAGATCCAGGATGATCCTCAGACGTCCAATGATTGGAACAACCAGGTGATAAAGATGTAAAGATTGCGCACTCACCAGATACGCAATCTTTGTGCGCATTTGTATATCAAATCGCTGGACCTCTGGTGTCATCACATTAGGTCTGGTCAGATCTGGTCATGTGGCTCCTGCTGCCTGGCACTCGGATAGATGCGGCTACTCTGTGGATCTGGCTGGTTTTCACCAAAGAGGCATGGCTCTCCCCTCGTGGACATCAACACACTCCACACAGCACGCAGGATCCGAGTTCCGGGCAGAGGGGGGGCGGGGAAAGCCTTAGGGAGGCCAAATCTTTACATCTTTATCACCTGGTTGTTCCAATCATTGGACGTCTGAGGATCATCCTGGATCTTAAGAGCACCCCTTCTTTAGACTCTTTTTATTATTTTTACACCTTTTTGTCACTTTATAGCCACCACCTAGTGGCTTTATTTTATTTGCACAAAGTCACTATTTACCATTTGTATTTTTATTAGTGTCTGTCATTTTATATAGCGCTGCACCTCCCCCCCTTATTTGAATATTTTCAAAAGGTTATATATGGTGCCTTTTTTGGTGTACAGCTGCTGTGTTCTTTGTCCAAGCGCTCACTATATTCCACTTTACTGTGTATCTCAAACATTGTCTCTATGGGTAGGCAATAAACACATTTATAATTGACCAGAATATGTGTAAATATAAGACTAAATATTTTTTTTGTATTTTTTATTCAATACGGCAGTAAAAAAAAAGTACTTGAACAAAGCACTGTAATTTATAACAAGTGATGAGCTGAAAGTACCCGGATTTGGGTCAAACAAGGATCGGTGAACATTACTAAAGGCTTTCTATGTAAGAGATTGTCAAACAAATGGCATGGGGCTGAGCATTGCCTCGGGGAACATGTACGAAAGTAAAAAAAATAATACAAATTCCATTTTGGTGGGGTTACAGTGAATCTAAGTTATGCTTAAAGTGAAACATTAAAAATTCAATGCTCCATTAAATAACATACCTGAGAATGCCCTGACCCTGCCTGTCTGTACAATGTATACAATGTATACAACCTACAACAGCAACATGACATATACAACAGCAACAATGACATACAATAGAAAAAAATTGTTTTTAACTGCTTCCGCGCCCCCCTATAGCAGAAATACTGCTACAGGGCGGCATGGGTATGTGAAATCACGTATATAGCTATCAGCTATTAATCACTGGGTCCCGGCCAGTGATTCCCCGCCGGCACCCGGCGATCTCCAAGGATCTCCAATGGGGGAGGGACCTGTATGTAAACAATACAGATATCTCCCCTGTCAACTCCTGCACACTGCTTTGTATGTCTATGCATAGCAGAGCCATACATAGCAGTGTGCTTACAGTAAAGCACACACAGCCCACATAGTAAAGCAGCAAACAGTTAACCCTTTGATCGCCCCACATGTTAACCCCTTCCCGAACAGTGCCATTAGTACAGTGTCAGTGCTTTTTATTATCACTGATCACTGTATTGGTGTCACTGGGAATGTCAGTGACACTAAGTCAGTTCCCCCCAGTGTCAGAATGCCCGCCGCAGTCCCTGATCGCTGCCATTAATAGTAAAAAAAAAAAAATTCCAGTATCTCTATACCGCCATTTGTAGACGCTATAACTTTTAAGTGAACCAATTAATTTACATGTATTAGGATTTTGTTTTAGCAAAGACATGTAGCAGAATATATTTTGGCCTAAATTTATGACGAAGTTTGATTTTTAAATTTTTTTTACTAGACATGTTTAATAACAAAAAGTCAAAAATATAGGGTTTTTTTTTCAAAATTGTCGGTCTTTTTTTGTTTATAGTGCAAAAAATAAAAACACAGGTGACCAAATACCACCAAAAGAAAGCTATATTTGTGGAGAAAAAAAGGATGTAAATTTAATTTGGGGTGCAGTGTTGTATGACCACGCAATTGTCAAAGTAACGCAGCACTGTATCGCAAAAAATGGCCTTGTCAGGAAGGGGGGGGGGGGGTAAATCCTCTGGAGGGCACATGGTTAAATTACAAAATTACAGCTCTTAGTCGCTTTGCTTCTGTTTGTAAACAAACTGGCTGGGGATTCCCTTCATATATACCAGACCCTTATCCTTTTGGGTGTGGTATGGATTTTAAAAGGGAACCCCATGCAAAAATCAAGAAAAACCTTGTGGGGTTATCTTCAAAAATCCACACCAGACCCTTATCTGAACTTGCAGCTGGCCATGAAAGAGGGAAGCAAGAGTACACCCTTCTCCCTTCTGAACCATACCAGGCCACATGCCCTCAACAAAGCAAAACACCTTTTCCCTGTATAGATGAGCACAAGGACCTCTTCCCCACAACCCTGGCCCAATCATAGTGGGGGTTTGCAGGCAAGGGGCTTATCTGAATCTGGAAGTCCCCTTTAACAATCTGTGCCCCCATGTGAATAAGTAAGGGTTACATAATACCCAATAACATAGATTGGTAGAGTCACGTACTTTTGCTTTGTGTTTCTAGCTAGTTATCAATGACAGGCAAGAATCTGACATCATTAGAAGTCATAGTTATATAGATGAAAATAAAAAAAAACCAAGTTCTCAATTTACCATCAGTATTTAAACTGTCATATAGAATTAATAAAAAATAAGCTATACAGTGCATTTGTGATTCATTTGGTTAAGTTAGGCTTAATCCTCTGCTCTGTTTATCTATGAGAACAGCTCACAGTCTGTTCTTTTCACCCACTTCTGAAATAGCATTGAATAAGCTGCTATTCTAAACACCCACACTTCACTGTCTGTGAAGTCACCACATTTCTTGACAGCTACAAAAACTGGAGCAATGGAACTATGTTAATGGAACATGTAGAATGTTTGTGTAAAAATTAGAAGATAGGGAATAAAATGAATGCTTGGTAAGAAGCATGTTCCAACATTTAGTATTTATATTAATGTGATAATCATGGGCATGCTATATTAATCTCTTCCTGTTGGCCCATTCTACATAGAGAGTGGACAGGAAGCAGCGCCGTTGCGGTCCAATGTTCCTGTACATCAGCCCACATCGATGGCTCCTGTGTGGCTCACAGAGCCCTGTGATCGGTGTGTCACCCAGACACAGCGGATCACAATACCACTGTGTTCTGGCAATCACGTGGCGTTTTACCATGGTGACTGCTGTGACCAATCACAGCACTCACATAGTAAACAATGAAACTGAAAGTAAAGATCGCTTCTCTCTGTTCTCAGTGTCAGAGAAGAGAGAAGCGATCCTGCAGTGTGTGAGTGTACAGCAGCTTCTCAGGCCACTTGTACACTCACACACTGCATTGCCAGCCACACCAGTGCCCCAGTTTAGTGCCCCTGTGTCACTGATCACTGCCCCACAATATCAAAAATAAATGATGCAGGCAGGCCCTGTCCCAGCATGCACAAAACACCCCCATACACCATACCAATGTCCTGATCAAACTATACCAGTGTCCTGATCACCACCATACCCCAAACCAGCACCCTGATCACCACCATATGCCATACCAGCACCCTGATCACCTCCATACACCATACCAGCACCCTAATCACTGCCATACCCCATAACAGTGTCCTGGCTACTGCTATACCAGCGTCCTGATCACCGCCATACCTCAAGCTAATGTCCTGATCATCACCATACCCCATACCAGCATCCTGATCACTGCCATATGCAATACCAGCATCTGTAATTTTAGGATCTCAACTGATCAGTTTTCAGATATATATCCCATAGTTTGTAGACTCTATAGCTTTCACACATTCTAAATAATATAAACAGTTTTGGGGGTTTTTTACCCACAAAATGTAGCAGAATACATTTTGGACTCATTTTATGAAGAAAAAGTATCTATTTGCAAATTTTTAGTATTTTTTCATTTATATAGCAAAAAATAAAAAATCCAGTAGTGATCAAATACCACCAAAAGAATGCTATATCTGTCTCAAAAAAAGGATACAAATTTCATATGGGTACAGTGTTGCATGACTGAGTAATTGTCACTCAAAGTGTGATAGTGCTGAAAGCTGAAAATTGGCCTAAACTGGAAGGGGGTGAAAGTGTCCGGATTTGAAGTGGTTAAACTAGAAGGTTCCTATAAACATAAACTAAAGCTGGCCATACACTATACAATTTTCTGTCCAATTTCTGCCCAATTTCCTTTAGATTTGCCTTCAACTATGTAGTGCAAGGGCTTGCCTAATTGAATACAACTGAAAGTGTTGTTTAGGTTTGACCTCATATTATATGGTTTTTGGGAAATCTAAAGCAAAAATCTCAGGAGAATTGTATAATGTATGGTCAACATAATACTCACACCAGTGCCTTAACAAACCTCAGGTGGTGATCTGGTTATGAAATAAAGGGCCAGGAGCAGGGGCGGACTGACAACTCATGGGGCCCCCAGGCAATAGGGGATCATGGGGCCCCTGTGTCCATGCCCAAACTCAAAAAAGCCTATGAAAAAGGTACCAGGGGCATCTCATGGGACCCCCTACTGACCCCAGGCCCTCAGGCAGTGCCCAAGTTTCCAAATGGTCAGTCCGCCCCTGGCCCAGGGGGCAAGGTATAATGCGTAAGGCTAGGTTCACATCTGAGCAAGTCGGGAACCTGTGCATAATTGCACACATTCCCAATCCACAGGTTAAACGTGCGGCTCTTTAGCAGATACTAATTCTTAATGGCACCTCCATGCATCTGAAAACACAGCATGTTTTCAGGTGCACGAAACTGCAGAGTTCTGCATATCCATGTGACCACATTTTTTTTAAAAAATGTTCTGGGACTTTTTCCCTGCATTTCCCATCCAATTCTCAGAATGCAGGACAAGTGTGAACCTGGACGGAGGACTCTACAACATATGCACTGTGTTTTTTCCTTCTAGCAACATTTGCTCCCCTGTGTAAGCAAGCATGGTTGCAGGGAAGAGGGGAGCGTGCTCTGACAATAGCTAGTAATGCCCGGTAGTGTGATGTCACCCATAGGCTTCAATGGCCCATCCATTATCGGCACTCCCTCCTCTCCTCTGCAGCTGTTACTGGTTGACAAAGGAGAGCTAGTCATTTGACGTAACTGGAGTTGGTTGAAAAATAGGTAAATTTATACATCTTTCTTACACAGGTTAGTCAGAATAGGTATTAAGATGGCCACAGATGACCACGGGTTACAGGAAAGAAAATCTCTTAATTCCCCCAGTAACACAGTCAGTTGTGATGGGGGAATCCCTCTCATGGAGCCATTGTATAATAGCTACTAGCAATAATCACATGTAAAAATCTGACAGGCTGGTTGTAATCAAGTTGATCAATCGTTCAACTTGGGTACATTCAGCCTGCCCATACATGGTTCAAATCTCGGCTGGTCCCTGCTGAACTAGCCAAGATTCGGACCATCTATAGCCGGCTTTAGGAAGGGGACAGTTTTAAAAGTAGAAAGGTTTGCCTGGAATTCCCCTTTACATCTAGACTGGCTTACAGTCTGCCTTTTCGTTTCCCAGTCTGAATGGTGAGGGGCAGGGGTTACAGGAATCCTGTATGAGGACAAATATAGATTTTATTTAAATACTTTTAGATATTTTTCATAATTTATTTGTTTCTGTTCTCCTTTGCTACACTTTAGGAAGCTCAAAACAAATTAGATCAAATTTCCCCTTTAGATCTACTTTATTTTTACAGGTATCCATTCCTTGAATATACCTGGTAATTTGTTTGGACTTTGTACCACATCAACAAACTACTTATTATGCCATTACATAAGATATACTTACATGTACCAGTCAAATAATTTCAGATTCTTGTGGGATAACATACAGTACTGAGAAGCCTCACCCATAGGATCTGAACATTTTGTGAATGAACATTATACACAAACACAGTTTCTGGAAATAGAAACCTGCATTGTAGTATAACACTATGATGTATCTTGTTACTATTATGAAGAGTTCCAAGTTCTGACACCAATGTTACAATGTATCTAATGATAGTTGGTTGAAAATAATTTGCTCAGAGCAGCAAACCAGCATTTGCCAGTACAATACTAGTTTTAATACATTTAAGTTTAACTCGATTATTATATTAAACTTCATATTAAATAAAGCAGTATTTATCAGATAAGGAAACTATTTCTAAAGGATGCATGCATACACATAAAAATTACATTATGCTGAGCTTTTTAGCCAAAACTAAGTTACATGGTTGCATTCTGAAGCCCACCCACCTCCTTTCCCCAAACACACACACATTAGACCTAAGCCAGGGACAGGCAAACCATTTGTGCAACCATTCTTTTAATACCTTTGGGATCATGCACAGTAATTCCAGTGCCATGGCTCCCAGTAATTAAGGTTCTCCATACCCCATCAGTTCAGCAACAGGGGCAGGGCACAAAGAGGACTATTGACTCATTTTTGAGAGTAGGCAGAGTAAACCTCCATGCAGTGGCTCCTGACAATCAAATCAAGGTTCCAGTATCTTCTACTATATCAATCCACCTGGGCAGGCTGGAACTTTAATTTAAAGTGTTAGTAAAGGTGAACTCGAACTTCTCTTAAAAATGTTCCCTCCCTCACCCCACCTATCCTGCATACCCCATATAAAAAAAAATGTGTATGGTGTGTAGTTTTTTTTTTTTTTTAAATTCTGGTCTAGTCACGCAATTTAGCATATTTGGCTCCTATGTGTAAGGGAGAGCCTGACAATGGCTATGACATCCCAGAGCCTTGATGCCATCCATAGGTTTCCTTAGCCCATCCCTTGTAGCTGCTCCAGCCTCTCTCCGGCTGCTGCTACCACTCACCACCACAGGGAGAGTAGGGAAAAGGGAATGTTTTTAGGAATAATAAGTCTTCTCTTGCACTTTAATTGTCAGGAGCCGCAGCACAGAGAATTCGCTTGATCCTAAAAATATGTAAATAATTCCTGGTTCCTGCTGCTGAACTGATTTGGCCTGGGAAGTGGCTTACTTAGGGGGGTGCGGTCCACACCAGGGAACTGGCACTCTGGGGGTGCTGGCCAGCTGCCCATCATGTTAATTTTGTTGTGTTACTGTCAGGCAGGTAGAATCAGCTCTGAATTGCAGTATCACTTCTACTTGTCTGGAAACGGCAGTTCAGAGCCAAGGGGAGGCTCTGTGGCTCTGGTCACATGATACAGCTGAAGGAAGGAGTTACCTCACTCTGAACTGATGCTGAAGAGATCTGCACTAAAGGGGAGTCTGTACTGGAAGGTCTGTACTGAAAAGTTTCTGTAGTGGGGTGCTGTTTTTAAGGGGTTAGACTGAGAAGGTAGTCTGTACTGAGGGGGTGGCCTGGGAGGGGGGATTCAGGGCTGTGAAGGAAGATCTGTACTGGGAGGGGATTGGGGATGTGTTGGTTGAAATTTGTACTGTGGAGATACGGGATTGGGGAGGGGGTCATTTTTTTTTATTCCGTGCAGAGGCCTGTGCTTTACCCACTCCTAAACCCTGCACTATTGGTTATTATGCACTCCTGAGAATGTAGGTACAAGTGCTGCAGCATATGTCTGTTGTGAGCAGGCTCAGGTTTTATTTAACCATGGCAACTCCCATTGTTAGCATAATGTGGCCACACCCACAATGTGGTGCACCACTTTATTCTTTCAGTTATTTTTCTTGTGTGTGTGTGGGGGGGGGAGAGTATGTTGGAGAATGATTAGCCATGAATGCCAGATATGCTTGGTATGCCACCGGACCCAGAGCACTTTTATTTAATTGCTGGGAGATGCAAATGGTGGGATTACTGTGCATGAGGAATACGGTAATTAGTTTTTCTATGCATGGAGGAAATGTCATGCAGGCTATATTGGGCCCCAAAATTTCTCATGGTGGCCCTGACAAGTACAATCAGGGTACACAAACAATTTATAATACCACTAGTGGTATGGTATGTGTTGTTGGAACAGTGTGACACAATTACTATTTAGTGTGGCACTGATGTTTTCTTACATGTAATGATGTAAGGTGCACATGTGGGAGATTTCACTGTTGAATATCTGTTACGGTGTTTGCACATAACCACATTATATTCAGTAACTTACAAGAGACAAGGTCAAGATAGCTATGAAAACATGGCAGATGTATATGCAGTTTGAAAAAATTCATCAGCAAGAGATAACAGAAAAATGTCACTGTAGGGTTAGAAGGATAATAGTCTGAAGCTATAAATGTGCATCCATATGTGATTTATGCATACATACGAGGACGCACAAAACTGGAACATGTTTGCTATTTTTGCATCTTACATTAAAACAGTTTGCAATGACTGGTGTCTATTACAGTAAGCATCTGACAACAATTTACCATTGATGCCTTACGTATTTGGGTCATAAGAAAATGTTTGAAAACCATGGTGACCTCAAAAACATGGAGACTATTAGCATATGACACAGAAATCATTACAACAACACAATGATTCTGTTCCTTTATGCTGCTATCAAGATGGCCATATTTAAAAAGAACTCCAGGACAACAGCTAAAGGCATGGATGCAATACATATAAAGGAAATATACGTGTCAAAGTATTTGTATTTCTGTCCATCTTGTCCTGAGATTTACACACACCACACAGCACAGACAGGCAAATAGTTGCATTAATACATAGTTAGTCAGGTTGAAAAAAAAAAAAGATATAAGTCCATCTAGTTCAACCAATAAAAAAAAAACGACAACAAATGCATAGAAAACCTCCACATACTGTACACAATCCTATGCCCACAGTTGATCCACAGGAAATCAAAAATCCCCAATAAAACATGCTCCACCTTGACACAGCATGGAAAATAAAAACTCTTCCTGATCCCCTGGGAGGCAATTGAATATTTCCTGGGTTAATAATCCCTGTTGTTATTACTTATAAATATTAGTGTCTAGTTATATTTTGTGAATTTAGGTTAAATCTCTTTTCCTCCAGACGGAAAGAGTGCCCCCTTGTCCTCTGTAATGACCAGAAAGTGAATAACCCAACATCAAGTTCACTATATGGACCACTTACAGTATGTACTCTATTTATACATGGTAATCATATCACTCCTTCTCAAGGGACAATAAAATCAGTTCCGTTAATCTTTTGTGATAGCTGAACTTCTCTATGCCTCTTATCAGTTTGGTTGTCCTTCTCTGCACTTCCAGTCCTCCTTTTTTTGAACTAGTGCTAAAACTGAACTGCATATTCCAGATTAGGTATTGCTAACGATTGACACCACTTTCTTTTGTAGAAGGTGTTGGAATACATGCATCTATGGTAAAACTCTATGAGGTTTATTTACTAAAGCTAGAGAGTGCAAAAGGCTCATTTCTGCATAGAAACCAATCAGCTTCTAGCCTCAGCTTGTTCAATTAAGCTTTGGCAATAAAACCTGGAAGCTGATTGGTTTCTATGCAGAAGTGAGTCTGATCTGGCACTCTCCAGCTTTAGTAAATAAACCCTATGTCTTTTCTCTGAATAAAAAGTTTCCTGTTTGCAGAGAAGCAAAAAAGCACACATGGCCTGTGCACTGTCTGTTCTGTAGGGCTATATACAGAATCTCTATTGGTCCAGCAGCCCAGTCATAGCCAGTTATGGCAAATAAGT